TGGCATATGAAATAAAGAGTGAGATAATTAAAGTTCACTGGAATGCCCATTTCAATAAGGGTACATTTGCAAAAACTGAGAGTTCAGTGTTACTAGTATAATGTGATCTCAGCTTTTGTACAGCAAGAATTCAGTTATAAGGATTTTAGCCTAAGACTTTGGCTGAATAGTCTATGATTTTGGCCGAGACTTAAGTATATAATGAGTTAAATTAACTAAACTAAACTTGTTGCTGATTTTATCCTTAGAATTTTTATTCTACACAGGGCTCAATTTAGTCACTGGTGCCAGCGTTCCTAAACTACAAGTCCAGGAGGTTGATATACCTCCCATCTTAGACCCAAAGACTTCCAGGCTAGGAACCAGATGGCTTATATTGCTTTCTACAAGGAAGAGACCTCGTGGAGAAGATAGACTCCCTGCACATATATGAAAGAAGCTCCCTGTACGTGAGCTGCTTTACAATTTTGTGTTTGCAGTGATGTTCTACAACAACAAAACTTTGATCTTCTATATTTTTCACAAAATACTCAAGGACTTGAACAAATTTAATTTCCAACACAAGGCAAACCCCAGTAATTCCAACTCACATTGCTCTCCCTCTTCAAGGTTATTATAGTAGTATAGTTTTAACATATAATCTGTCCCTGAATGTTGAAAGTTTTTTTCATTTGAACCGAAAATTCTTTAGTTTGAGATCATCTGCAAGAGAAGATCGATTAGTTCTGTGAGTAGTTCTATCATTCTCTTGTCTCATATTAAATGTATTACCTAGAGTATTATATTAATATATATATCCAGTATTTACAATTGATTTTCCAATAATAGCTTATTAAAAATAATATATATCCGTTTTAGGACAGTTGAGAAATAAATTTTAGCTTTTTTGTGTATACGTGTTGCTAAATTGTTTTTTATTTTTATGTTTGTGAACATATAATTCATTTTAAGTATATAAATACATGTATAAGCATTCTTAATAAATATAATGGATATAATATATTCTACTAAAGACAAATACATATTTTTAGCAAACATAAATTATATGTACAGATGAATTTTTCTCCATCTTTTACATTGAAAATTAAATCAAATAAGTATTTGTAGGTTTCATTTTCTTCCTACCCATTACATATTGAAAACATGCTGGTAAGTATTCTAAGGATGTATATTAATGTAAAATTTTTCCTTTCAATAGCACATGGGATACTCTCATTCTTAAAATTTGCTTTTCATAAAATGCTATGATAGTCATCCTATAGATGGATTTGACATGAACAGATCTTTGTGTTGTTTATTTTATTGTTACTGACAAGATTGAATATTGTAATTCAGTTTTAAATTTATTTAAATTTTGCCAGATTATTGTCTGTTCATGCCCTTCATTTGCTTTTGTATCTTTTTTTTTTTTTTTTTGTAAAATGCCTGTGTATGCCTTTTACTGAGTTTTTAACATTTTATTATTGGTTTGCAAAAACATATTTATATTAGTGTTTTCTTGTTTATCTATTGACTTGACTTACAATGTGTGTTAAATTTCAGAAATGTCCCATTTGGAGTGTAAATCTGTTGATTGTTTCTCACATCCCCAAATGGTTTTCATAAATTTCATGCTTAGAAAAATCTTCATTACACTGGAAAAATATTTAAATCTGGTATTTTTTTCTAGCTTTGTGGTGTTTTATTTTTTAAAAAAGGCATTAGCATTTTGATGCCTATAGTTATTCTACGTCACATTCTCAATGCCATTTATAAAATAATCCATGCTTTTGCTGTTAATTCATGATGGTAGTTTTCAAACTTTTTAATTTGTTGCTTTCATTGTTTCTGTGCAATTTTTATTGTTGTCATTGTTGATGGTTTTCTTTTGTTTTTTGGATAAAAATATTTGTCATCCAAAAAGGGGGTGATAGCTAATGGTTTCACTTTATTAACCCTAATAGTGGCCAGATCTCCCTTGGGATCTATACTTTAGTCTCAAATATGTGCCCAGCTCCTGCTTCATTGTTCTTGGAGGTGTATTTTCATTCAAGGCTCTTGACCATTCACCAACCTGGCTCACTGCTACTCTCAGGTATATGAAAATTTGCACATTTCAGGAAGCCTCGGCTCTGAGACTTCTCATTTTCTTTCTTCAGCTCACTCATCTGTGTTAACATTCTACCTGAATTCGAATTACCTATGTCCTCTTAGATGCCAATTGCACCTGCTGGTACTTGTCCTTGAAGCCTCTCTTCAGCCATCCCCTCCCAATACCTCTTGCTCCCTAGCTTTCTGCTGAGTCTGGATCTTTTATTTAAACTTACAAGGAGAAAAATAAATGTTATTCTGAGATGTATACACAGATTCATTCTAGCTCTTATTTGAGGATCATAGTACAAAGGTGTGCTCCTCAACTTAGTAGTCATTAGCTACATGTGCCTGCTGAGAACTTGGACTATGGTTAGTCTGAAATGAAATAAATTTTCAGTATGAAATGTGTACATGCTACATTTATTTAAAATGTAAAGTATCTCATATTTTAAAATTAATTATGTCTTGAAATGATTATATTTTGGATATTTTGGATATTTAAGTTAACACAACTATATTTTTAAAATTAGCTTTACTGGGTTCTTTTAACTTTTTTAATGTGCCTACTACAAAATGCAAAATTACGTGTGTGCCTCACATTTTTAGATTGCATTATATTTTTATTGGATAGTACTGAATAGAAGTTTCACAATGTTCATTTTTAGTACCATGGGTAAAAATATGGCCTTGCAATTAAGAGAACATCTTTCCATGTTCTGGAAATAGGTTAGCTGCCAATTTGTGATTCTATGAGTGTATGTCTTTATAAATTGATGCTGCAATAAACATTGTTTTGCTCATACATGTTCATCTTAATGTTGGTTTCAGTTGTATTGGTTAAACAAAAGGCTATTTCATGCTGCTCTTCTTTCTCTAACCTGGTGCTTAACATTTTTTGCATGAGTACATGTGACTGCATTTTTTCAACATAATTTGATAGCAGAGGGAGGAGTGTCTTTTAAATCTTTTAAAATTGTATCTCAAGCAATTGCACAAAAGTGTAGATTCTTCAACTTGATATTTACTCTGAATAAAATGTTATTTCCCTTATTTTCCATAAGAAATGAACACAACATGATCTTTCAAGCCAGTGAGACCTGAGTTCAAACAGGATAACTTTCATTTTTGTGGTCTTTGCATAAAATATTCATTTTTTATTAACTTTAGTTAACCCATTTTTAATATAGAGTGATAATAATTATTTGAAAAGTTCTATTGTCATCATTTCTAGCTGAGACATCTCCCCTCTCCTTTCCTTCTTTATTTCTCATATTTAGATCCTCTTGGGACAATCAGACTTGTCAACAAGAGAGTATTAGGTATAAGATATTGATGGTGAGTGTGACAGTGGAGTTACTTGCTGAGGAGTGGCCTAATGCCTGTTAGACTATGACTTAATTCCAAATGCAGTTTTACATATTTTATGCAATAGATTGCAGAAAATAATAATTCATCATGCCAAACTTGGCATCAGGAATGCCTGCAGCCCTGAGGTTGATGCCAATCCTGTTAGGAGACATGAAGAATGGATTTACCTTAAGCTTCCTTCTTGAATGAGGCCAAGAAATTTCAAAGCTTTTAATTTTTGCCTAAAGGAAAAGATTCTATGAGTTTCTTACATACCCTCACAGGAAATAGAATTTCAGCAAGACATTTGATAAATTATCATAAACATGAGACCAATAACTGCCTTACACAAGAATGGCAGTCCTCCTGCCAAAGGTACAATGTGTATGGGAATGATTGCAGGGCAGCTGTGGCTGGCTGTCATGGCAAGCAGCCATTTTGGAGTGAGGGAATATGTAATGACGAATGAATGGTAAAATATTCTGACTGGGTGGATAAAACCCTAGAAAGTCTAATATTGTTCTTGCTTATTTAAAGCTTGGGACTTTGCGTCTTGCCAAGTTTTCCTGGAAATCTCTGTGTTGACTATTTTGGGCTATTTGTTAATGCCCATCAAGTTATGGAATGTTAGCAAAGTAACAATGAGGGTGGAGTAAAAGAGCAGCTCCTCCTTTATCTTGGATTGAAAAAGAGAAGGTTGGATTTAAGTTCTAAAAATTTCCCTACTGATTAATACTTTAAAGGAAAGATAAAATATTCAATATTGGAGGATATTAGTGCACTAGCAAGTATCGCTACTTTCTTGTATTGGTCTATCTATGTTGTTTCTTTAGTCACCATTGTTCATTTTCTCTTTCTGTCTGTCTTGGTTCTAAATTTTCAGGATTAAATCTTATACCACATTTAAAGTGTAAGGGTTTATGTAGAAAGATAGCCAGTATAGGTAGCCCAAGGGATCTGTATACACAGAAATGCTCTAGGGTTGAAACAATAGAATGTCAGGGAAGGAAGAAATCATTGGTTTGAATATGTTATGAATCAGCTCCAAATTATTTTTAATTACTTGAATTACATAGTTTAATACGTATCATATATTCATGGATTTGTATTAGGTACATTCACTTGTATGCATGTGTAGGCACCCTTTCCATCAGGGCTAGTTTTACATATAAAATACTTTATACAATTACCAACTTGGTTTAAACTGAGGGCCACTGAAGGTGCCCTGCTTTTTTTCAATGATGTTCTTTGCTTGTCCTTCACTGAGGTTAGAAATTTTGTTTCATTCTGAGAAGCAGCTGAATACAGTGGAAGCAACACTGAGATTTAGAACTAAGCAGAACTGGCTGTGAATCTTGTATTTGTGCCATTTATTAGCAGGGAGATACTGGGGCTCAGTTACCTCTCCTATAAAATGGAGAAAAGAACTGACCTGGCAAGATTTGAATTTAAACAATTCATTGAATGTACTATGCCTACCATATGGTAGGAGCTCAAAAAATGGTTTTCACAGTGCTGTTCCCAGTGATAAATTGTAAACAGCTCTGCAAAGGGTCCATTGAGCTCTGTCAGTCACTCACCATATGTGAATAGATGGATTCGATTCCTTCAGCCTTCTGTGTTGCTGAAACTGAGTCTGGCCATGTGTAAAGGAGGATCGAGGAAGGGCTTCAGTGCAGATGTCCTTGAAAGATCAGATGCAAGAAAGTCACAACAGAGTTGAACCCAGGACTCTGGTCTGCATACCTCAGCATGACAGATGTTAGATCAGTGGCTGGATTTCTGCACATGCTCCTACACTGGTCAGAAATCAGATTCCCTTTCACTGTGGTTAATATTCAACTAGATTGTGAACTAGGTCAACATACTAAGCAACATTCTCCTGAACCCCCATCCCTACCAGTAATACCTGGATACCTTTGTTGCCTATAATAATTATATTTATTTCCTTTTCCACCGGTCAATTTTTTTAGATGCAATCTAAAACTACTATTTTTGCCTCAGTGGACGTGAAAATTTGCATTTTAAAGAAGTTTTGCTTCTCTAAGTCCAGAGAATAATAACCTTTCTGAGGGAATTCAGACATGTGGGACATACAGAGTTTATGGGCTTGAAGAAGTCTTCATAAGGTCTCCTTCCATCATGGCCCTGAAATCTCTCAACTCAGTGTAGTGTATGTATATAATGTGTGTAGTGTATGTATATAATACGTGTAGTGTATATATGTGATAATATATATAATAATGGCAGTGCCATTATTACTGATAAACTTTGAGCAGGTAAAAATTTTTATAAAGACTTTCCATAGAAAGTTTGAAGGACAATTCTAAGTAGTTTAGAAAGATGCAGATAAAGGCAGAAATTCCATTTTATAGGAACACCACAAAAATTTAAAGATAACTACAAAACAGGTAAGTATTGAATTATTAGGGATCATTTTAGAGAATATTTCATTGTACTAAAGTAGGGGGAAAGTAAATCCAAATATATATATATATATATATTTATTTATTTATTTATAAAACAAATGTACATTTAAAGGGTTACATGTATGCTCATGAATATTTGGAGAAAATATTCATATATATTCTGCAGGCAGAAATAGATTAAATTGAAAATATTGAATTAGAGGAACATGCCTTAAGTAATGGCTTCTTGGATATGCATGAATTGTATAATAAGTTTAAAGGGAAAGAGATTTTATGGTATTGACATTCTTTTTAGCATAGAGAGAAAGTTATTATTAGGATGTATGTTGGAGTTGGAGAGGAAGTTGAAACAAAGACAGAATACAAGAAGAAGGGCTTAAATTTTGGATGAAATGAAGTTTATTATATCTATGTTTTCTTTAGGGGCAGGGGCCAGGTGCTTGATGACTTCTTGCATTTGCCTGGTCTTAACCCACCTCAGCATATCCAATGTTCTTAAGGGGATGCTGCCTTCTTCCCTGGCTTCATACCATCCTGAAGTGTCCACAGTTCTCTGAGAGCATATGAACTTGTGAGGAATTTCTCCTGGCTAGTAAATCCTCCTCTGGAAAGATCAGGAGAGCCCCATGGAAACCAAGTCAACATCAGGCTTCAGTTCCTGTGTTTTGGGAGTGAGACTGGTGACATCAGCCCAGCTATGACAATCTCTGGTTGCACACATCCAGCTTTGTCCATACTGACACTTGCCTGGGCCCTAGAAGATGTACAGGGGATACTTCCATCTTACATAAATTATCATTAATCCAGTGCATTTCCTTAATGACCTGCTTTGATTGCTTATTCATTTTTTTAAAGGAATTCCATTTTAAAATAATTTTCATTGAAGATACACAGTTATCTAGTTTAGAAAATCAAACAGCTTTTTAACTATGTTAAAAAATAACTATGCATCTCTAATTCCTATTTCCTCAAGATAATAATTTTAATTCTTTCAATAGTGTCTTTTACTGTTCATTTTAAAATTTCTAGTTGAATATACAGTCCCTCTTTAGGTGGGGTTTAGATTTATACAGTTTCATTTGCCCGTGCAAAACTATGTTCTAAATATATAAAAGGGAAAATAATAGCAATAAAAAATAGAATAGAAAGAGAAGTAAAAAAATTAATATGTATTATGTACTGTATGAGCTCTAAATGATAAATGAGACCATTGTATATGTAAACATCTACTAAGAAAAATTTTTAAATTTTAAAAATTAATCAATTTTTAAATTGCATGCCATTCTGAGCTGGGTGGTGAAGTTTTGTCTTGCCTTTCCACACTGTATACACTACCCTCCTCTCAATAATATAATAGCTGTCTCAGTTATCAGATTGTTTGTGGTCAAGTAACTCTAGTTAATCATGACCTCAGCACATAATAGTAGTGATACTAGCAATTCAGATTTGTCAAAGTGAAGCCATGTAGTGCTTTGTTTAAGTGAAAATGAAAGTTCTCAAGGTAATACTGAAAGGGGGGGTAAACATACGTTGAGATTGCTAAGATTTCTGTAAAAAACAACTCTTCTATCTGTGAAAATGTGAAGGAGAAAGAAATTTGTTCTAGTTTTGCTGTCACACCTCAAACAGTAAATTATTTCCACAGTACATGGTAAGTACTTAATTAAGATGAAAAGAGATTACATTTGTGCATGTTTGTATAAGAAAAAAATACAGTATATGTAGGGTTCAGCGTATCTATTGTTTTAGGTGTCCACTGAGGGTCATGGAATGTGTCTCCCATTGATAAGGAAGGCTGCTGCAGAATCTTCTGACTTCCCTTTGGAAGGTGAAGTTAGCTCTATTACATGTACCACCCTTTGCATATACACCACATCCCAAATAATTTCCCTTCTCCACTCTCCAAGTACAAACATGCCACAATTTTGAGATAGCTATGTAATATTTATTTCATTCTGACTATGTAATCATTGCTTATAGCTGAACTGTTTGTCCCTTTTCAATTTTTCTGTTGAGTTTTAATTTGTTTGGATTTAAAAATTACCTTTTTTCACTTGCTGGGGTTTCTTATGTATTAATCAGTCAATAAATCACCCCTAAGTGGCCTGACAGTTATAGAAAGCTTGCAGTGATTCACATGTGTCAGGTAGGCAAGTAGTCTTTATTTTTTCCTGCCTTCCTTTTCTATTTGCCCCCTTTCCCTTGTCTTTCTACTTTCTTGGTGATACTTGTTTGGTAGACCTTCAAGCTTTGGGCTCACAGTTTTCCTTGCCTGCTGCTATGCTGAATCTCCCTTTGTGGTAATTCCAATGTTTGAAAATTTTCTTCTTGTTTTCTTATATTTGACCAATATTTATTATGGATAGAGAACTATATCTTTTATAAAATAACAAAAGAAGCTGGGTGTGGTGGTGCACACCTGTAATCCAAGCACTGGAGACTAGGGCAGGAGGACCACTGAAAGTTCAAGGGCATCTTGGATTACATGGTCAGTTCCAGGCTAGCCTGGACTAATTAGTAATGTCCTGTATTAAGACAAAAGAAAAAAAGAATTTGACAATTTGAGGAAGATGAACAAATGGCATTATAACTCCTGAGCTTTTGAATATAATTAGTATTTGGGATCATCACTTTGCACTTGACCTTAGCTAAAAGCCTGAGAAGCGATGGGGATCATCACTTTGACCACAGAATCATGAAATTTTATGAAGACATACCTCGATGTCCTTTTATTAATCATGCTGGGTGTTCAATGGATCCTTTTATTTCCTTCCTAGAAACATGCATTCTTCATTTCTGGGACTTAAAAAACTTTTTAAATAATTATTTATCTTCAGGATTTTTGTTCATTTCAGATATTTGTACTTTTGGATTGATAATTCTGAATTTTTTCATTTTGTACTGATACTGAAAATTTTCTAAATCTATTTCTCACCACTCTACATTTCCTTTTAATAAGCTTCTCTTTGTGCTTCATAAATGCACCATTCATTTATTCAACGCTCACTTCTTTGGTTCCTATGTAGCCAGAAGATTATTTGTGGAGAAGATGAATTTAAAGCGAAGTCTTCACAGAATTTGTGACATGTGCCAACAGGGGAGATGTACCAAGGCATGGATTTAGTACAGGTTCTGAGATGATTGTGTGTGAAGGTAGGTTAGGTTACTTGGACCTCTTAAACAACCTAACATTCTGGATAAAAATAATTTTAAATGCTCCTGAAAAACAATAAGGAGATAAATGAGAAAAAGGAGATGTAGTGTCAAAATACCATTACCCACTAAAAAGAACTAGAGGGCTTTTGAGAACAAAAAGTATCCAGGTCTAATATTGGAAATATATAAAATGAGCCTGAAATATCTCATCATATCAAAAAGCAAAGAATCTGTCAAAGAATTCTAGATGATGTCAGAAGAGTTCAGGAGGCAACTTCAAGAGGATGTGAGCACCAATAAAAATGATAATTGTAATAGTTTAGAACAAATCAATGAGTTTTATGATTATATTTCAGGAAAAACATCTCATTTCCTTTGGAGAATGCTAAAATTCACCCATTGTGAAACGTGTGAATAAAGGTAAAGCACTATGCCTTTCTTACACAAAAGTATCTCAGAGAAATAAAATATTTCATAAGCAAATTTTTATCAGAGTATTCCAGCTAATAAAATGAATGAGAAATTATAGAATTAAGATATTTAGTAAACTTTAAGGTAAAAATATCTTTAGTTCTCTCTGGTAGGCAATAATTATTGAGGTTTAAAATATTATAAAAAGTCAACAACCAGATACCATGTTCCTCTTGATAGAATTACATCATAAACTACAGAAAATTGCTTTTAAAATATTGAGTCCAAGTTTGGGTTAGCCTCCTAAATCTAATTTCCAATCAAAACATTTATTGGGAATAGAGAAATAAGCTTAATGATGCCATAAAATTATAAATATGGATTGTGAAATAATGTATAGGAAAATGAGTCTGCATCTTTAAAAATAAATTGCAACAAAGATAAAAAGGGAGAGAGAAGGAAAAAAAGGACAAGGATTACAGATTAAGTGAGGTTTAGGCAACTTTGTGACAAACAAAATGTCACAATTTGAGTCCTAAAACAAACTATAAATAAATTTTAAAAAGACAAACAGAGAGACTTGAAATTTGACCAATTTTAATGCTATAATATAATAGTTGGGGTGTGATAATCATTAGAAATGTATCCAGAAATATTTATAGATCATATTCCATTTGTCTAAGGTTTATTTCAAAATAGTTTGAGCTGGAGAGTGATGATTTAGAGTTAAAATAAAACTGACCAGAAAATGATAATTTTGAAAGC